TTGTAGTTTTAATACATTTCAAATATTCAAATAGCTGTGTAAAAAATGGTGATTGTGTTCTCCAATCACCATTAATGCAGCAGAGAACACTGGCTCTGTCGCAATTCTCTTATTCCACCCAAAATTGTTCATGATTATTTAACAAAGTTCTCTCCTTCATATAACTTGCATGAGGGTCTATACATAGACAGTTACATGCATTATTTTATTTCAGCTCAAATTTCGGAATGATTCTAGAAGTTGATAAACTTCTGAACTTAACCAATTTAATAAATTATCAAAATTTCACATTGTAGTTTTCATTGCGATTCAACATCATAAAACTTTTCCATGCATCAAATTTGAAGGGAAATTAAAACAGAATGCAATCAACTGTGGAATAGAATCGTAGAATCAATAATTACCTATGCAGTCAACTTGGGGATAATCTCAAGTCCTGTTGTGTGCACGAAGACATTGACCAAGGAATGCCTAAAGCATTCAGTTTCATGCTCCGGCAAATCTCAATTTAATACCAATTTCCATCAGTCTCAGAGTGACTTCGACAGACCGGAAATTCGGATGCAATTTTAAAAATTATTGCGCACTTCCGATTTACCATTCAGTTTAGTTTGTAATTTAATGAAGCCTTCACGTACAGCTACCATAATCTTGGGGAATTCTGAAAACAGACAGCTTCATTAGGGATATTAAATTTTCCATCGACTGACACTCTAAAGTGGTATTAGGGGTAGGGAAATTGACATAAAGTGGAAATTACGGGTGCACGACAAAAAGTGTGAGACAAATAATGGTTTAGTTGGAGACTTAAGCGCCTCCGCCCCGGAGCTGTCGCTTTGTTCTCCACTGCAGGATGCTGCAAGGATGTCAGGCAAAATCGATACGGGGTGAGTAAATTGCAGAATCCTTTAGGAGCTAATCATTAATAATGACACACCACAATTCCTTGACAAATGTACTGAATGGCAAAGTTGTGCCACAAGCACTTGAGAGTGCCCCTCAGCCCCACACTGGGCGACGGTGGGCAACGCTTGATAATATGCAGATGGTCATTATCTGGCGCTCGGCGTCACCCCACAGCGTGTAATGCGCCATCATGACAAATAATTGAGGGTCTCCGAGGGCAGTACGGAAATGAATTTATCGGCCGGATGTGACCCGGAGGGCTGGGGTGTTTCGGGGTGTCACTCAACTGTTGATAGAGTTTTGTGCTGTCGTCCGCTCCGCAGATGGATAAAGTTTTCCACCCAAGCAGAGCAAGTTGGAGTGTTATGCTGGTGTGGTTTAATGTGAAATTCAATTTTGAGGGAATTAAACCAGTGACAAAGACACTTTAGCACTCTCAGTAGGCGGCTGCAAATAATTTTGTTTACGTCAGCCAAACGTCTTCTACGGTGACACGTTGAAATTCAAAGACCTGCCACAGTTCAGACGGATTGCGATCACGAAATTGTGGTGAGACAAAAGAGACGCTCTTCTACACGTGCAAATCTCTCAGATGAATTTATTGTGCCACCCACTCGACAGATTCATTTAAATTTATTTAGCGCTCTTGCCCTTTTCCTCCACGCATAAATGAAGTTAAATGGCGCAGAGATAAAAAAAAAAGCTCAACTGAATATCGACACATCGGCACATGACGAGTATAGTCAATTTTCCTGCTATTGTGTAGCGAAATTATCACGCTGTGAATTTTAATATTTCCAACAATTATTGTCAGTGTAAACAGTGATTTTTACACCTGTCACAGAATGCATATTGAAAATCCCCGGAAATGGCAATATAAATCACATGGATTATTTTCAATGCGGCAAAAGGACCCACATGCATGTATGTCAAAGGCACGGTTATTTATTTTGCATTTCGCGCCACATATAAATGCGGTGCTTGTCGATTTTTCACCAAGGACTTATGGACTTTTTTTCAAATGCAGAATGAATTTTACATTTTTGGATTCGGTCACTCAGAAAAAAAAGGAGTGAAAAATAGGTAAAGCATGCTTTCCTCGGTGAATGCGCAAGTTGTGCAAGTGCATTAAATTAAAATCAATTGTGATGGCGTGAAATGCACACTTTATGCATTCGAGATAGTCGAGAAATTTCTTCTAGCGAATCTCTCGACAATTTCAAAGTCTTATTGCCTTTAATGCTTACAATGTATTTTATCTATTAGGTCTATGTAAATTTCATTAGGTAGTCTGAAAAAGATTTTAAATGTATATAATTTAATTCTTTGTAATATACGCATATATATAGCGAATGCAAATCATTATATAGCCTTTGATGTGAAATGCGCGTTCGAGGGAAAAATCAACATGATCGAATAATCTCATTAAATCGCCATAAATTAGCTGGCGCATGGCGAACATGATGGCAGAACGATGGTAAATAGCAAAGCAATTATTTGCATTTGTTGCATTTTTGAAGAGCTATGCAATGTGGAGAAATTACAATTCCATGTCGCCAAATCACATTTTTCCGGGGACACATTTTGTCATATGCTGCAAAAAAGCGCATTAGAGAAATTATTTTACTTTTTTGCCCAACTCATACAGCAACAACTGAGAAATTGTTGCAGCACATTAATATTGGTGCTGGGAACACGAAAAAAAGCGGTGGATGGCAGAATCTGCATATGGAATGCGAATGAAATGCCATTTTCCTAAGCGCAATTTTCAAACCTCATCCCAGGGCACGGAATTGTTTACACTATGGTAATTAAATGCTTCCTCCATCTCACATGGTTTGTCGACATTTTGCCATCCAGGGCGGAAGAGGAATGACACAGTAAAAACACAAGTTCTGCAGTGGTAACACAAGAGCAAACGAGCTGACAGGAATATAACTATATTGCCCGTCGGGGTTGCGTATTATGCAAATATTTCGACACCCACTTTGTATTGTCGTCGTTAGTTATAATTGCCTAAACGTGCAGCCCTGTCGCATATCGGCTTCACGTCCAACTGCGAGCCGGAATAGATGGAGCATTTTCGAATGGACGCAAGCATTACAGGGAATATCCATTTGTCACCGAAATGAGATTCAATGCTCAGGTAGCATTCAGTGTAAGACATAAAGGATGCTTCCAACCTTGACGAACATGTTGGACAGTCTTAGATAATGTTTTCAATAGATTTCGCCATTGTAGCTATTCAATCGTGATTAAATTGTACAAATATTCTAAATCAATATTTTTGCAATAAGTAGAAATTCCTCTTTCTATTGGCTGATTGTGTTGTTTAACATTATATTTGTCTTCACCACTCAATGTTCCCGTTGGCGTATGCAAAGCTCTGGTTAGATCATGGTATGAGGGAAAGTGGCCGCCAGCGAACACATTTAATATTATTTCACGTCTATCGATCACGAGAATAGCCTCAAATTTCCTGACGGCTGCCAAAAATTAATTAAATAAATGAGCTCAACTGGCGTCACGACTCTTTCAGCAACAAATAATTGTGATGAACGTTAGACTTTTTCAACCACTCAATAATGTTACTTCTTTTAATTCAGAACTCATGTCATCGCATGAATGATGGGAAAGTTGATTAACATAAAGTTCATCCCATTATTCAGGCACACTTTAAACTACCTATTATTTCACGCTCGAATACAACACTGCCATTGTATATGAATTATTGCTTATTTGCTCTATGATTTAGATACCTAATCTTCGTAGTTTATGTTTGTTTATTCTGACTAATCAAGTGTGTAATTTAGTGGAAGTTGCGAATTTTGACAAGTTGACTCTGTGAAAATGTGTATGTCAACAAAAGTTTCCCGAAAATTGCACAGCTTTAATAAGGTGAAAATATTTAATGGTAGGTAAATTGTGTGAATTGGATGAATTCTTTCGGGAATGGAAGTATACTTTATAACTCATTTGGAGTGATGAATAATTGAAGTAAATTGGACGCAATGAGGCGTGTACATTATATAAATTTATAATTAATCATATTTGTTACAGGCATACATTTAAAATATGGCTAATTGTGGAATGACTAAATTTTCATCAGTTAGTAGAGTTCTGTTATCATATAATGCACTGAAAAATTGACAGGCTTCATTATAACTAATAATCGAAATTCGAACCACAAATAAGTTCGTGCCAAGTATATAATGTGCAAATTGACGAAAATATCAATACTACTCACCCGTTTGAATAAACACATCGCACGATGCCAAATAAATACATTATTTTCCGCATTTCTATTTAAACGTCTTTTAGAAAATTGATGAAATGAAATGGTATTTCGAATTTGCGTTTTCAAATACGCCTCCGTTAAATTTTTGAATGACTTTACAGTATAATGCGACGTTAATTAAATTGGATTCCCTATGTACTAATTAGTGTAGTTTGATCAAGCTCACAGGAAAGCAAATGCAAATTGTGTCCTAATCAAACATATCGACCGTCTGATTAACTACGTAAATTATGTACTTTTTAATTGTTCGCTATATATCGAAATGTATTCCAACATGTTGAAACAAATGATTTCTAAATTCAATATGTTCCGCATCGCAAAATGTTGCATTTGATTCTAAATTAGATTAAAATTAGCTCAGGGATTTAAAGCCATTCAATTTGCAATACACGTAATGGAAATGCATCTCTGTTGCTGTGAAACGTCACAAATGTTGCACGGAAGTGACAAGGAAACTTAATTGAATAAGTGAGTGTATAAATTATTTGCACGGTATTGAATATTTGCTGACTATTCTTGTGAACCTTGGAATATTATTTCCATTTGCTAGAACACTTTTTTGCTCGCCAAAAACCCCACAGGAGAGATTGGCTGATGTCAATGAAAATATCGGTATAAATAACTTTTGCTCACTGCTCTTTGTCTGAGCGATATAATTTTCACGTGGGAAAACCATCAAATGCTGCAGATGAAATGTAGAAACAGAGGTGGAAGGAGATGCTCCATTGATTTCATTTTGCGCCACAAAGGACGGCACCAAGAAAAGCGACTTCTTCTAAGTTTTCTATTATTCCCTCTTTATTTTCTCCATGTCATGTAAACAAATTAATATTTTCTTTATGGGCATCATTTTAGTAAATTAACTTTCTTACAATTTCTGTGTGATAATGTTTAATTCGCACATCCCAAATCATCAACGACTATCTCGTCCGTGTTTTGTATAAATATGACGGATAAATCGTCATTAATGTGTTTTCGTGTTTATCCCTCCATCTAAATGCTCTCATTTTATTTTCGTTAAATGCTCTCAACAATTTATCTAATTTTAATTACTTCTCATCTCCCCACTTCATCTTCCTTGTCTGAGGCACAGCGAGATATGAATTACGCACTGGACCTTGTTATTTATCATACTTGTTGTTGCAGGAAAATCTCGGAGCATTTTGTGTAGCTTTTTCCTTGCACTAACTTTCACGTTCAGAGAGAAATGGCCACATAACGTCTATTTTATTAATTACATTAAGTCTCTAGAGAATTTTCAGGGATGGATGATTAAATAGGAAATTAGATGAAGAAAGTTTTCAATGTGTCTTCTTCACTCCACTTCATTCGCACATTCATATATATCGCACCTTAGTTACTAGGTAGACAATAAGAAGTGGCCATATGACTCTCGATGCAATTTCCAGTGGAACTCCTGATCCATGGTAAAGCTCAGCTAAGCTTTCTGCTGTCGCAGTACCAGCAAAGACGCAACATCATGGAAAAGAATATATTCGTTAGGGAGCATGGAAGAGTAAGCGTGAAACAAGAGGCTAGAAGCTAACGTAAATTAAAGATTCTTTTCGGTTTTTCAGAAAATTATCACTTGAATAGAGACTCGCTTGTTTAAAGTGGTGAAAAGAAATCAAACGAAGACGGATTGTAAAACCCCATTTCAAATCATTTACTTTGAGATTGTTAGTCTGCCCCTTTGCATTGCACGTAATATAAAGACAGAGTGTAGTTGAAAATGTTGTGGAGCATCAGGAGTGAAAAATAAATTCAATAAAAGTCACTTCCCACCCACTATTTCCACTCTGTAATACAAAAAAAAGAAACTTCCTGCTTACCATTGAGGACGTGAACAGATGTCGTGAAGAATTGTGTTGGTCCAATTGAGCAAGTGTAGTTGCCAGAATCGGATTTATTGAGTCTTGCCACTGATAGTGTTGAATTGGCTCCTTCATCCATTAAATCTGTCCGTACGCTGTGGAAAAAGGATAACAAAGTCGTACTGTTTATACGATCATGGACGAGCACGGACACTGTGAGCACCGTATGATTTTCTTTCATGTCCCACCAGCCATCCATATCCGGGGGATAAAGTGGGATTTTCCTCACGGAAAGCACCCACTTGAATGTAGGTAATTGGACAAACGTTTTCAATCACAATCATTCCGTGTTATGCTTCACAATTTGTCTGGCAAGGCGCCAGTGGGCGTCGAGAGGTTCGCGCTCAATTGACTAAGATGGATACTCCTTTGAGTGGCGAAACGAGGCCACACACATTTTATTGAACATGCTGTTGACGCACCTGATTCCACCCCGGTTGGTGTCATAATTCAGCAACGATTCCCCGTGGAGCCAGTGCACCATTGACGTTGTCATCCTGACGTGGCGAACAATGCAAATGAGCTCGAGCGTCGAGTCCACTTCGTAGTATTTCTCATAGAGAGGTGAGCTCTGTTCGTCCACAATAACCACTTCCGGCTCTGTAAGAAACACAGCACGGGTCGAGGCTTGAATAATGATGCTGAAGAGCAAAGGTAATTGGCAGAATGAAAGCCACACCATGCAACACTAATATCGGTTTCTCCCACTAAGACTTTTATGCGCCTCGAAAGGATAATTCTCTCTTGAGCGCTGGATAGAGACAATTATGGGAGAAATATGACCCACGTCATGCATCACTTTTAAAAGTAACCTTATTAACTGCACTGTGAGAAATGACCGAGTGGGTGGCAAGTGGGCTGTAATTTGAATGCAAATTGACAGGACTCCGTAATACTTTGGTATGGAACTCTATGTGCACTTAATGCCTTGCCTAATGCGCATTTATAGGACGTGAAATATTTAATACAGCGATTCATTTCCCACACAAATTTATATATTGCCAAACTTTGGGATAGTAAAGTGCAATAAATTTCACGTCATAGATTTCTAATAACCAAAATTGTATTATAAGCTAGGTTAGAAGAGATGAATTGATTTAGCGACACGTTTTCATGAGGTATGTAGAGACTTATATTTTATCCAAGGAATTAAAAAGTATTGTTCTTCTGGTTATTTCGTTAAGTGGTTTTTTAATGGCGGAGAAAATGAGATTAAAGATATTTAGCATATTTAGAAAGAAGTCGGAGCAGTTCAGGAAATTTTCATTATTTGAAAGGAATTTTACTCTGCTATATAATGTACATATATAAGAATTAGTATATGTGAATACTAACGAGGTGATATTCAACTGAAAGGATCAGACATCAAGCAGTGTTGGAATGCTTTTATATGCTATTTCTTATCTCAATTAGCATTTCGAAACTATCCACTTAAGCAAATTGCTTTAATGGGCTGTATTAAAATATTCGATTTTCACTTACCGCTGACGTAGAAGTAGATCTGGATGACTCGCGGTGGGTGAGTCGAAATTTGGCACTCGTAGATTCCTTCATCCCTCTGGTCGACCATCGCTATCCGCAAGCGCCAGTTGTTGGGATACTCGAAGTCGACGCTGAACCGTGAATCCGCACTGTAGGTATGGTGGCCAACGGTGAGTAACTGCAGTTCATCAGTCTCGGGATTTCGACGCACCCACGACACCTGCAACAAGAAGAGACTCCCGCGGGAAATGAGGTGTGAGCGAGGCAAGTTTCGCGTCGAGGTGCTCTGTGAGTGTGATGAATTTCATCACAACGGGCGAGGAAAAAAGAATGGGGTCTCAGGGCATCACACAGGAGGATTAGAGGCATCAAATTCTAAAGTTGCGCCTCACCCCACGAACTCCCGTCACCCAGCCCGGCCACCCAGCCTTCCGGCGAGCTGCGAAAGTTGCAGGCACGAGAAAAAATATGCAAGAATCATGTTGTGAAGCTTTGCTGTAAATCCCTTCTCTTGGATTTTTCTTGATCCCCAGTGGGGCAAATTATATAACATTTACTGACACTCTCTCTCTCTCTCTTTCAGCCATTCTCCATTTCACAATTCCAAGTTGAAAATTCACGTTTGGCAATAAAACAGAAAATTTAATTCCTGGCGCTGCTCGTGATTCAAATGCATATGCTGTGTGGAGCAGAGGCAAAAAGTTCACACTCCACAGGAGCACATGTCTGCTTTGAGAGAAGCTTCACTCCACACACACACACAGCTTCTGCATTCAATATACATATTGTGTACACAGTGCAACACATTTTCATGCATTCTTTACCGAAAAGGTATCAAATATCAATTACTGAAAGAGGAAACTTTCAATTTCTCGACAGAAAAATAGCGTAAAAAGAGTTGCAAAATAAAATTTTAACAGGTATTTTCTCTGCTTCATGGACTTCTCAATTCCACACTGGAATTTTCTCCAAAATAATCTTAAACTTGCATTAGCAAAAGTATATTTATGAGCACAGGTTTTCTTGAGGGATTGAAAAGAAGCAAAATACATTTAAAAATCCAATCTCGAATCAACAATAAATCTACTCTTCCATCTGTTCATACAATGCAAATGCAACTTCGGTCTCAGAGTAAGAACTATATTCCAGGATTTGTTACCTATACTGAACTGAATAAATTAAATAAAGTGTGGCAAGAGAGAACTGGGAAAGTAAATTAAAATACAGTGCATTTAAATTGAAATATAAAACAACCTGCGGTATAAAAACGTAAACACTGAATCTTGTAACCTATCATTTATCAAATATTCTTGATGGCTTTTCTGTGCAGAAAAATTATCAAATTGAAATAAAATAGCACAGAGACAATGCATTGAAATGGATTAAAATATTAATTGATTATTTGGCGTAATCAATCAGATATAGTAATTAAATACATGTGGCATTGCTGCTTTTAATCCGATTGTGCGAATTATCGTCCGCGTAGTTAAAGGGCTTCAGTTTAAATCAAACCAAAAGAGCTAAATTGAATTAAACCCGTAATACGTTAGGTATTTGTACCATTTTCTCTGATCAAAATATCTGCACATAAACAAATAATATTTCACTTATTACACTCATGCCCGCAAATATGTATAATATCTCTCGAGAGATTTTAACGAACAATAGCAATAAATTTAAAACCTCGCCATGAAAATACCGATATTTTCCTTAGATTAAATAGAAATTTCCAATTATGAATTCTTTATGATGTTTTCCACATTTCGTCCATCTCCGTCGAAGCGATATTCAACCAGAGTAAATATTGTATCTGAATAACGAGACACTTTTATTGTCTCTCGTGAATTTACTCACATGTGGGCGAAACTTTGCTATATATCGCATCTCACGGCAACTGTATGTGACAAGATGAACTTAGAGAATTTCCCACAAACTCGCCAGAGTGATTGTGTCGCGGTGAAAAAGAGGTGGAAGACGAGCCATTTTACAAGGTGACGAGGAGACGTGGTGTGGGACGAGGTGGAAATCGGGGTGAGATTGTGAAAATGTGATTAGAAATGTCAATTACCATTTTGTCTGCGAGATACGTGATTTTGCAATTAAAATGTGCCGTTCCACCCTCTCGAACAGTCACATTTGCTTGACTCGAGATGCTCTCTTCGAAGCGTGGGCCGAACCTGAAAAGACTCCTGTTATTAGAACATATTGAACGTGGTAAGGAAAGACTCAAGAGATTGTGCTAAATTATTCAATTTTGTTTTCTTTTTACCACAAATGTACAGATGGAGTGAAATTGGTTTGTGTTATTCGAAGTAAACCCAATTAAATGCAATGAAAGGTATTTCTTCTAATTGGTATATTCTATTTTTCCATGATGTTCATACTGATATTCTGAACTTCTGTCAGGATAACTGGCTCCACTGCGAGAAGTGTGAAAAATTTCACTCTGGCACTTTGAGTGCGACAAAAGTGCTTTTACCTAAAGTCATGGTGATGATGCTTGTTGACGATATGCGAGTCAAAGATGTAGTTGAGCATCGGAGCGTCGGTTTTGTGACCCTTGGCCGCAGTGCCGTTCACGAGGGATGAGTTCGTCTTGGCAACCCTGTGAAATTTCTCCTCCACCGTCTTCCTCGATCTGCTGTCGGCCTTCAGCACTCTTCGCCCTGGTGCAGTGCTTGGGGGCCCCATGGCTGCCTCTGTCACCGCCACTGGGTCATTATGGTGCACAAGTGGAGCACTCAATGGTGCTTCAATGGAAGCGTCTTGAACCGCCTCAGCTGATGCATTGGCTGAAGAGGGAGAGAAAGGGAGCCAAAATTGGAAGATGAAGTGCATTTTGGTCGAGATGTCGACAGTCCTTTATCATTATTCCCACGCCTATTTCCCATGGCGAATGTTTTCTATTCTTGGCATCGAATATTTCCAGCAATTTATTCTTAACTCGCTCATAAATACATCATAAAATGATTAAAGAAACCAACAAATGGAGTCCATCAGAAATCAATAAACTGCTGCAGTTGGGATTGAGTGGAATTAAACGGAAGACGATAAAGTTTTACAAAACTTTGTCCCACAATACTTCACCAAATCAATTTACCGGCCATTAAAACTGCGGTTATCAATCAAACTGTTTTAATTATAGTGAAACATGGCATTCCGATGAAGCATCGTCGAATGCTTTGAAATACTTAATGAAGTTATTTAACCAATCTGATTGAGTGTAATTTCATTAGGACAGAAATGTACACAGAAAATTCTTAGGAAAAACACCTGCAATGCATTCTCTGTACAAGTCGCTGCACAAGTATATCAATGAGAGGAAAGAGCTTTGGAGAGCTTTGAAGACATTCGGGTTGTCTCAAAAGCACTTTCCTCAAAAAGATCCCTTTGCGAAGCTTTTGTTATCCTCTCTGCATGTTCTAAGCCAAGACAGAGGAAAGATTTACTTTACCACTCTTATGCAATGCGCCTCTTGTGAGTTCAAAGCAAGATGCAAGAGGTTTCTCTCGAGATGTAGACAATTATTTGGAATTTATTCACTTAGGGATCATAAGAAACCTTGTTTATGCGAGTCTGCCACTGTCAGGAGAGCTTTTTCCACTAAAAATACAGAGCACGTTGAAATACAACCATAAACTTGCAATAAGCTTGCAAATTCGCCACCTTTGACACAAAAGCAATTCTGCGTCGAATAGTGCTATTTCATCCCAATTCTGCAACATCCGTTTTGGAAGTTTCTGGTTTTATTGGGCGCTGTAAAAAACCACCCCTCAGATTCCTACTCAGCTCTCAGGACAATAAAGAACGACTAGAGCTCTTCCATGGGAGTTGATTTTTCCACATTCCAATTCAACAATATTTCTCCTCTTGTGAAATGTTATTCTACACTTGGGAAATGTTATGCAAATTTGGGTGGAAATATTTTTTATTCCATGGCCAGAAGCAAGAAAATGTGTGTAAAATGTGAATGTAATGTCTTAATAAGATCAGCTGTGAATTTATTGCATAATTTGTTACTCAAGTGCTGAAAAATTGATGTTTCGTCATGTCCCAGTGAAATATTTGTATAGGAAAATTTATTGCCTCATTTTCATTCTAATATTCTTTTAGGGGGAATTTCTTCCAGTAACATATGCTCAAGTATACTCTGTAATGAGGGCAATTTTATGGAGTGGTTTCACTGTATTGTGATGAGAAAGGATGTGCGAACCAGAACATGACTGAACAAAGACACTCAATACAATCTCGACGATAAATCAATGTTCAAGACAAGATGTGGTTTTGGAAGAATTTAATTTGACCAAATATATGTATTAATACCATTCTTCTGCCGTTCTTTTCATTAAGCCTTTACGAGTGTTGTAAATTTCATATTTTCCCAAATATTGTACATATAATACGCATAAAGAGACCTTTTCCTAAATTTTGAGGCCTTGTTTAACGATATTGGGAGAGACTGTAAAAAAATAACGAATAAAATCCATGTTATATCACTTTGATGCTTTTCAATACGTCTGCGGCATGTGGGCATGTATTTGCCCTGTGTGTTTGGGATTACAGTGAAATATCCTATGAAAAGAAGCCATGCGGACTCTTTGAATAAAAATTTCTGAATATATGTATAAAGAATATAAGAAATACCTCGGATTTTCGAGATGATTTTTGAGCTTCGCTCTTTATTCCCAAATCAAGAAAATTATAGAAAAGCGTCAGAGGAATTCTTTCGCATTATACATGCTTTCCATGCTTTCTATCAGTTTTTTTGAATCATACTAAAAGAGATATGCATCATCTTCTTGAGGTTCTCCACAATGTCAGTCTTATCCAACTTGTATGCCAATAGCAAGTTTTGAGAAGGAACACACCTGCCGCGTGAAAACATAAGTTTAACTAAAGTGTTGATACTTTACTAAGTCGGAAGAGAGAAATTCGAAACTTCAACACGAAAGTTACATTGCAGTTATCTAGTGGGGGGTAAAACGCAAAGCGAAACATCTCAAATAAGCACGGAATTATGGGAAAATTTTCCCACTCTTGCGGATTTACTTTCGCATTTTACATAATTAATCAACGGGGCAATTTTCCCTCTCCGCCTATTTTCCTCTGCAATGAATCGTCCGCTCAGGGAAATCGACAACACTCGAGCAATGGGGAATTGAGAAGCACTTGATCTCGGCCTGAGTGGTGGAAATTGATATAAATTGGCGGGTAAGCGAGAGGCAGAGACACCATGGAATTTGCCTCTAAATATTTCGTATTAATCATAATCGACTCTTGGCATATTTCAGTGTCAAAGCCATGTTTCCTGGCCATTGAGCGGTATTCAAATTCCTCCTCCCGTCGTGGCTACCTGACGTGGGCGACAGATTTTGCGGCGGCTCCGTGGAATTTCGCCCCAACGGGGGTGCAAGTGTCAGGGGCAGCTCCGTGGTGGCCGAGACGAGCACAGGGATGAGGGTTAAGTAACAGAAGTGGAGAAGAGTGGCCCGAGACATGGTGATGAGGCTATTTGAGAGCTTCGATCAGGAGCATCCAGCACTGCCATTTGGATAAGTGGCTCATGATATGCATGTCAATATTCCTCACTCACAGCCACACTGCACCGTGTGGAGAACACTCGAGACACATTTTCCTTTTCCTTATCACTCCAAGGCGCCCCGCACTCGAGCACCACTCACAATTTTTCACTGGGATTTACCCCCTGTCATACACAGGGCTGCTCTCTTCCCAAACTTGCAGCTCGACAAGAGCTCCGATTCACTGGAATCCTTGCGGGCGGATTAAATGGTCATTTTGATTGCCACTGAAACACTCCGTGCGGGAATCCTTCCCCTTCGCCACCAATCACAAACAATTCACACGAGCAATCCGGCGGTTGATACCGGTGCTGATGCCATAAAGTCCCTCTAGATAATCCTCACTCACACGAATTGTCTTCTCTTCCTAATCCGCAATGTTTTTCCTCCCTATTTTCACCACTCACTTCACTGCCACATGACCGCCTCCCTTTCCGTTCTTCCACACCGGCGTTGATCAAATTAGTGTCATCTCCTCCGGATTGGATTTCGCGCACATGTAACTGATACTCCTGGCGACGGTTCGCGCTGAAGCAGGACTGCGTGTCTCTTGCTGGGAGTCCGGATGAAAACTGACTCTCACAAAGTGTGGCGTGAATGTGAATGGAGAGCCAGTGCGCTGAGTCGAATGCGTCTGTGCCAATTTCTCGTCTTCTCGCCGAAATTGGGGAAGTTCACCCTGATTGAGATGAGCTCGCGGGTGGCACATGGCTTGGGAGTCGCCGCGTGTGGGGCGCAACCCTATCGCTGAACACGTTGTCTCAATGTGCATTAAATTGCCCTTGTGAAAAAAGTTCGTCCCTCCAAATCTCACAATTACTATCGACAATTGAGGATGAAGGGAAGAAGATGGTAAAATGCAGAAAATTCCTGCAATTCTCTGTGCACTTTTCATCTTCATTTCGTGTGAAAATAAAGTAAAATTATTCTGAAACTTTCACTTTATTGGCATTAATGAACTTAAAAAACTTGAAGTACTTCGATTTTGATAATAATCTTCATGTTATCTACTACTAACCTCACTGAAATCGGTCTCTTTCCACATAAAACCGACATTCTCAATTTGATATATATTGCAGCACATTTTCATTACATCTTTATTAGCAGATAACCAACATGATCATCACCAAATTGTGAAATTACCATAAAAACCTTTAGAACAATTTGAATTGCCATTTCGCTCAATTTAATTTTCCATTTTGCTTGTAAAAGAAAATTATTGCGCTTTTGTCGTTTTTGTAATAAATTAAAATTACATAATGATGAAGAAAGCAATCAATAAATGCGCATCGCTGTTTAATGCTAGAAAGTTAAACGTGAATTTAAAATTTAAATAGATTACTAGAGCGGATTAAATTATTAGCTGAAGTAAAAAAAAACCCATGTTTACTTTATAAAACCCACTCTCATCATAACAAATTTGAGCTCGCTTGCCAAGTCGTCGGCTTTCGTCCTTAATTTTGAAGACCAATAAAAACCACTGAATTGACAACAATGTGAATTTTTCAAGTCACACATGTGAAAATGCTGAGAGGAAAAATGTATTATTTGGAGAAAATTGCATCGTCGTTACTTTTATTGTCCAGAAAATGTTCCATGGCGAACTCGGCGGGGTTTTGGGGTGGAGAATAAAAATGATATTGCTTCTCATTACATTTTTCAGCCATAAAAATTCAGTTCGTCATAATAGGAGAGATGCTGAATAATTGAGTAGTTTGGGGGTGATTTTCGAGAGAGGCTGACGCACTCTTGGGAGGCGAATACAGCGCAATTGAGTGACTCTGAGAAGCTCCTTTTGGGGGCTTTTTGACTGATGACGCTCCGCAAGATGAGGATGCGGAAAATTTTCATTGAAACCATCCTCAGAGGAGTGGCGTGAACTCACTTCAGAGCACATGAGCACATGAGTCTGTCGAGAGAGGTTTGTGTATCGACGAAGACGAGAATCAAGAGCGTGAAGCATTTATATGGACACATTGTGTTGTGGCTCATAGTCAGCAGCCACCAATCAAAGTTCGACGAGGTGAGAAATTCATTTCGCAGAAATCATTCAATAAATGAACGCCGAGAAACATTTAATTGCCTTCTTTGTCAATTCATTTTCCCTCTCCCACTCAGGAGAGCACAATTAAAGTCAAAGAATTTACTTAAATTACTTTCGTGAAGCGCCATGCAGAGACACATCCGAAAATGTACTGGCGTCTCCATAGTGAGCCATAAACGAATGATTTAGAGTCTTTTCTTCCGAATTGCTAATGCAATCGTTATAAGTGTGATAAGTCAAGCATATTCGTGAGCTCCGAACGAGTTATTTTGGAAATCTTCCAATGCGATACACTATAAAATATTTAATTTATTCGGAAAGTGTAGTTGAGAATAGAGGAATTCTCAATGAGGTAATAGAGACTCATGGATATGTTTGAAAATGTGATTCCGGCCACAATTCACACACTCAGTAGAGGTACGTCCTTCTGGCGTATTTGGACACCAAAGACAAACAGAAGCTCGACCATAAGATATTCGCTTTGAAATTCGAATCGTTTTCCCACAATATAATCTCAATAGTACTAACATTATACATAATTAAATATGTTCTTTTAGGCCATCATCGAAAAGAAAATTAATTCATCGCATTTCTTTGTACTCTCAATAACATTTCGTGTCCTTAATACATCTATTAAATTTTCTCGATTTCTTTTCATGCAATATTCTTCCAATTTCCAATTGTATCGTTTCGATGGTTTCGATAGGACGATTCCATAGACAATTCCGTACATTTCCACTGAGTGTCTGTCAAGCGACAACGCTTTTACGGGGTAATATTTCTTCCACCAGAGACGCCACTGGTGAAGTCATCGAACAGTTCGTCTGTGTTTATTTTTCTCAAAAAGGCACTTTTTCTCAGGAAAAATGCCTCTGTTTGACTCTGTAATGCAAGAAAAGCCCGCTGTGGTCTTTGAGATAGGTTCCGCATATACAAAGTAAGCAGAATATTCAGTAATAACATTGTGAAAGTGAAATAATCACACCCTGACGTATTCAGGTTAGGATTCGCTGCTGAGGCCCATCCCAGATTCATCCTTCCCACGGAAGTTTTGGACCCCAACACTGGCAAGGCCACAAATCTTTTCTCATTCCACGGAACAGAGCTCTACGATAAAGTGGTCACATTCCTCAATGAGCTGTTCTTCAAGTACGTTCTCGTGAGTCCCAAGGATCGACGGATCGTTGTGGTGGAGAGTGTGCTCTGTCCAACGGAGTTCCGGGAGTGTCTCGCCAAGGCATTCTTCAAGCACTTCGAGGTGTCTCTGGTGTTCTTCGTGCCGACGCATCTGGTAATCCTCACCACATTGGCCGTGAGCACTGCTCTGGTAATTGACTTGGGATTCAAGGAAGCCGTCGTGCTGCCAGTCTACAGCGGAGTGCAAGTGCTGCACGCCTGGCAAGCTCAGCCGCTGGCTTCAGAAGCTATTCATAGCGAGATTCGGCGCCAGTTGCTCGCGTCAGGAGTCACAGAATCTCTCCTGACGGAGGATTTGATTGAGAATGTCAAAGTAAGAACTTGCTTTGTGACGAAATTCGACCGGGCGATGAAGTATCGCGAGGGAAAACCTCCAACACCGTGTCCGGACGTTGAATATCCCGCTGGCGGGAAAGAAGTCATCAAAGTCAGCGGAGAGCTGAGAGAAACCGCATTCGAAGTGCTTTTTCCGGAAGACAATGATCATCTGGGCTTACCTTACTTAATCTTGGAAGCAATTCTAAAGTGTCCTCTGGATATGAGACGCCAATTGTCGGAGAATATTGTTTTGATTGGGGGAACAGCGATGATTCCTGGCTTGACTGCGAGACTTCAGGAGGAATTGAAGCATTTGCTGGACAGCGATCTCTACAAGGGGAAACTCTTCCTCCAGTCGTTCAAATTTCACACTCCTCCCGCGAAAGCGAACTTCACCGCCTGGCTGGGAGGCTCAATCTACGGAGGAACAGACCTGCTCATATCGCGATCCCTCACGAAGGAGGCGTACAGCAAAAATCCACGCGTTCCGGATTGGACGCACCTAGACGACAAGAGGAGTCACGGCAGCAACTGAGGAAAACACGAGATCCACTTTAAGTTTAATCATCAATAATCAAATATCATTTATACTCGAAAAATATGGGAAAATCTTATGCGAAAACTGAGGCGAGCTCAATGCTGAGCGCCCTTGGAATGCCTTTGGTCACCTTAACGCTAGTGAAAAACCTATTTAAGATAATTAAACTCTATTTTCCTTCACTTAAGCTCATGATTTTTCTTGTTCTTTTTTTGTACAATTCTAATCCTAATTTATCGCCTGTGTTAATCAATTTGATCGTTTATATTTATCAAGTTATAAATGCATTATAAATGTAATCGCACTTTTCATGTCTTTTTTTAAAGTCTGCTGAGAAGGAATTTCAGTTGATACATTTTTAAGGCACACGAAACATCGGTCAAAAAGAGCGGCCAAGTCTTCAAAAGGTCCCTGAAGAAACGCTTTTATATGGGGTTTGAGTTATTGTGAAACTTTCCAAACACTAAACACAATAGAGCTACCCTAAAATCATCAGTGGTTAAATACTAAAAAAAAAAAGATAAGCCTTACAATTGAATGTGACAAAAAAGAGACTAACAAGAAACTCTCAATAAGTTATTAAAAATCTGATAAACTTAATAAAAAGTCTATCGGACGGCCTTTAAAATACAATAGATGCTCCTCTGGGAACTGCCACGCGTCTTAAACTGATCTTTCGGGAGTGTCCTGAGGCTCAGTGAAAACAATAGTACGAGATAGTAAGTAAACAAAATACACCTTAAACGCTAAAGGAGGCGCGAAGCCCTCAGTTGGCCAGCAGCCCTAGAGACTCGTCACGGCCTCTGCGGGCTCGCCTTCCTATGAGCGCCTCATGAGTGAGACGAGAAGCGACGGCGGGCCCGCTTGACGCAGAAATGGATGCTGAAGCAGCTCGGCCGCCGTTGCCCTCTGAGCCGGATCACGCACCAGCATCCTGTCGAGGAAGCTTTGCAGGCGCGGCGATACTTTCTGCGCATTCTTCAGCTTCGGCGGCAGCATATCGCGGATGCGACGCATCGCCTGCAGCGGCGGCTCGTTGAAGAAAGGCGGTTCCCCGTCCACCATCTCGATCACCATGATGCCCAGTGACCAGATGTCCACTTCCGGCCCGTACGGCAGACGCGATATCACCTCCGGCGACATCCAGTACGGCGTGCCCACGAGGGATTTGCGCTTGGGCAGCTCCTGAGACACCTGAGCGCAGAAGCCAAAGTCACTCAGCTTCACACGTCCATCCGAAGCCAGGAGGATCGAGTCCGACTTGATATCTCGATGAATGACACCCTGAAAGAGCCGCAGAAGTTAACTCACTCAATTCTCTCTATGCGCGCATATGAATAGCAAACCTGGGAGTGAAGATAGGCCAAGGCCTTGAGGCACTGCTTGCACACCGTTGCAATCTGCTCCTCGTCCATTCGGGAGTGCGTGACAATGTCCGTGAGAGCTCCTCCCTCGAGGTACTCCATCACAACCCAGAGCTCATCATCCACAAGGAAGCTGCTGTACGTCTCCACAATGTTCGGATGATGATAGTCCCTCATGATGACCACCTCGTTGAACAGGAGCTCCCGTCGTTGTTGCTTCCTCAAGTCCATCTTCTTCACGGCCACTTGGCGTCCTGAAATCACCCAAGAGTTCACAACACCGCTTCACGCTGAGCCTCTACTATCCTCTCTTCTTACCCGTAGACTTGTCCGTGGCGATGCAAACTGTTCCTGTCGATCCTTCGCCAATCTTCATGAAATTCTCAAGATTCTCCCGCGGATCCCCGGCAGAAACAACCATTTGAAGGGCGGCGCGGAACTGAAACGTTGCCATTTCCATTAGAAAATTACATCACGAAGAAGGTCAACAAACTGTCGCATATTGAAAACATCTTACTACATCGTGAAACTTCATCATTTTCATTCGAATATTCATTGCCTGTCTCTACAGTTCCAGAGCTTTCAGAGGTCCGAACCAAATTAATATTTACAGCCCGATTTTGTGGTCTGAACGTGAATTTAAATGAGCCTTTGAGCAATAATAGCAATAAAGAAAATCTCTTGCGAATATTAACATGAAGTTTTTATGCTCAGAAAAATGTGCAAGAATTTCCTGTCGGAGCGCCCATAATTTCTGGGGAAATTTATGATAATACTAAAATTTGTGTCACTCGTGAGAAATTGTGTGGCAAATTGCTTGACGTGACATTCTACATGCATCAGTGGCAACTGGAAGCATTCCCCCAATAAAAAGACATCGACCAAACACAAACTTAATATTTCTCCCATTCAACTTTATGGCACTGAGCGTTGTTAAGAAATTCACCAATACACTATAATTTAATTAGCTCTTGACAACAAAGGGTCCATAAATAAGTCTTTCTCTCGCTCTTCTCCATTCCAGTGTCGATAATATAATAATAAATAGGAAGTCTGCTTGTAAGGGAATCGCTAATTAATTAGTTTGAGTTCTGATACCGCAATAAGGTGTAAAAGTATATTTCATCTTGATAAAAATTACTCCAATGCCAAGGGTTGAAATATGAGTACCTTATCTTGGTAATTGAAACAACGAACGCTTATCTTTATGATTGTTTTCTTTTTTTACAAAGTAGGGTAAGAAAATATGCAATCAAAAAGGTTTCTGACGCATTTTCAGACGCTCTTTTACATGAGAATTGATAAGAAATTACGTTAGACACTAATTATTCTATTTTTTTTTATTGAGTCGTAACCGTTAGCAGCGAAAACCTAGTAAACTTCATGCGTATTTTGTGTTTTTGAACTAGATAAATATATGTAATTTACAATATTTGTATAATTGGTACAATTCAAGACAAAAACTTGACTTTCACTCTCTCAATGTTATTAAAAATTTATTGCCTGGAACAAATTTGGCCTCACATCTGCATTAGTAAGTAATGTGATCTCAGTTTACCTTCAATTATGATGATATAGCATCATCTTTTCTCTCTTGAAATACACTTTACAAGCTAAGATGAAACTATGAAAAAAAAACCCAAAAACGTTTGATTAAGCCTTGAGTCCTCGCGGGGCCAGTGCGAATTTTCAAAACCTGGCTTATTATACAGTTTTTAGTGTATGCTTTATGGCAGTGACTGGCGAAAGCAACTCACCTGCTCGTGTGTGAGCCGCTGCTCCTGCTTGCTGCCGCTGGGGCTGGGGCCGCTGGGCGCCGCGGCGGTGGCGCCGGCAGTGCTGTGAGTGGCCGTGGAGGCGTTTCCCGCGCTGGAGTTCGAGGAGCGCGTGTAGGGCTTGGCAGCAGGTGCAGGCGGGTGATGATGGTGGTGCGGATGGACGTTTTGGTTCTGATCTGGCGGCGGCGCCCTGTGTCCCGCCGCGAATGCGTGCGGCTGCTGCGCCGGGGCGGCTCCGTGGAAGGGCGGTCGCGGAGGAGCGCCCGTGGCGGGAGAGGCTTGCTGCTGGCGGTAGTAGGCGTCGAGGTGCGCCCCGGCAGCGTTCCCGTTCAGCGACGGCACGTTGTTCTGATACATGGGCTGATTGTCGAAGTGTTGCGGCGGCCGCCAGTCGGCCGGGGGCTGCATGGGCGGCTTCATGGGGTGGCGGGCGCCCGCGTAGGGCGCGGCGGTCTCCTCGGGCACTGAGGGTGGCACATTGGCGGCCCCGCGGATGTCACGTCGCATTCGGGGTGGACTAGAGCTGCGCAGGGAGTTGGAGCGGGCCACATGGGACGTCTTGGGGAGCACGATAGCCCCATTCTTGTCGGCCGCCGGGGCGGGCGCCCGGGCGGCTATGTTGTTGTTGCCGTGCGGCCGCACGATGGTCTTCAGGTCCAGAATCTCCGTGGGTGTGATTTCCGAGGGGTCCACCAGGGGCAGGGGTCTGTTGGTGGACTTGAGGATCTGGTTGTTGCCCACGATGGAGGCCCACTGCAGCGGCAGACCCACATACTTGCCCTCGCGCTTGTCGAAGCCCGTGTGGACGCGATGCTCGAAGTTGGACGGCAGGGAGATCTGTGGCTTTTTCTTCTTCTTCGAAAACATCACGCCCGAGGCGCATTCAAGCTCTACACGATGGATCACTTTCACTGGCCACTCACACACAGGCGCTCCCCTCACACCCAAAACAAATCACTGGACCACGTCAGGGCGACTCCGCGAGCGTCTTTCCACTCCCAAGCACCGGAAGTCGTCGCTATTGTCACTCGAGCCACTCAATTGACTCCGCAATTGTCGTCTGGGGCCGCGAAGAGCTGATTTTCGATCAAACACTGTGACAGCGTCTTCCCATGTCACCTCTTTTTTTGTCCTCAAGGCGCCTCCTTTTTGCGCGCTGAAATTCCACTCTCGCCACTCACTTCCGGCACCGCCTCGACACTCTCCTCGCGCAGCACCCGCGTGCGGTCTCCTGGGAGATGGTAGAATAGCAGTAGAAGCAAAGGAATTTACTGCAGATCCGTGGGAAAATCGCGATAACAGCAAATTCTGACAAGCACCATTTGAAGCGACAGCAGCGACTAGGTGTGGCAGGTGGCGAGAAACACCGCCGGAATGTTCGTGCCCGGATGCCGAGGGGCCTTTCACTCGACTGCCGCGCCTCTAGCGGTCCCGCCTCGATCAAGCAGACGAAACCAGTAGACTTTCAATTTCTAATTTTACTTTATTTCACCTTTCCGTACATTTCCTACCCAGTGATATCATACTTTTTCCACGAATCCGCAAACTGCTTCACCTTCTGCACTATATTCATCTCCCGGCGCGGCTTTCTCCACTTCCTGGCATCGAGATTCAGGAGACCTCCCAGAATTTCCAGTGCGAAATTGGCGGGAAAACGCTCCTCGTCTTCAATCACATGAGCAAATCCCGCGTGCTCCGTGAAGGAGACCCAGAAGTAGGGAAGTCCTCGGGGAATGGCCCTCCGCAGGCTCTTGTTCTCTTTCTTGAGATCGACTAGCTGGCGATTCTGTGCCCACTCGCTCTCAGACTCCTGAATTGCCTTCTTGAAGTAGAACGGCGCCAACTCAAAGCCAGAGCTCGGAATACAATGAATGGCAACATGCGGACGTCTGTGGAGCTTATTGGCAATCTCATAGAAGACGCAGTCCTTCTTCTGTGCTGAGAACATACGAATGAGAGCTCCCTGGAAGTCCTGCACTTCTCGCCACACGTCCTCATCAAGCTGTGTGGAACAGGAGACGTGCTGGATAGGACAGATGATGCAGTGTCCTGTCTGGAGAGCCTCATGCCACGGAAGGCTGAGATAGACTTTGCTTCCCATCGACACGATCAGTTCCTTGGCCATTTTAGGTGAGTCGAAACACATCTCGCAAGTGTCCAGTGTTTTGGAGAGACGCTCGTGATCCCTAATAGCGCGATCTCGATCTCTGGCGCTCTTTTCATCCTCTCCCATGTCTCTGCGAACCTCTTCGGCGAAGATGTCCTCAAGATCATCCCCTTGGCGACGCTTCTTGCCCGCAATCTTTGCAAACTGTGCATCTGAATCACTGCCACTGATCAATTTCTCAGCCTCAAACATATCTCTAAGGCTTCTTCGGTCATCATCGGGGAAGAAGCGCGTTCTCTCGCCACTTGCAGAGTGAGTTTCAACTTTCGCACGCTTCTTCTTGCTCCCACGGCGTCCGCCCCAGAGATCCGAATCATCCTTGAAGGCGACTGGTCGAGTGACTCCTCTCGAGTCCGTGGCAGTCAGGAGAACCTCCTCTTTTTCTCGGTTCTCAGCTCTCGGAGCGATTCTCTGTGATTTCACCTGATCTTTCACATTTTCACGACAAAGCTTTGCCTTCTCGAGCTTATCCTTCAACTCTGCAGCCAATTGGGCGTTTCCCATAATCTCTGCTTTGAGCATTTTCGCTCCCAGTTCATTCATTTGAACGTCGCTCAGGAAGTCACTCGCCACCGCCTTCTTGTCTTTTGAATGGGATTCCTCAGGCTCTGAACTTGAGGATTCTGATCCAGATGATGGACTTCTGTCTGTGGAAGTCTTCGTCTGAGGAATTTTCTTCCAATTTTGTCGTCTCGTTCCCGAGAATGAAGAGGAACTTGTCGATTGATTTATGTCCTCTGAAGGCCTCAAAAACGTACTCGGAAGGCCAGATCCCCCATCTTTCCAGTGAGGATTCAACTCTCTAGTACTCTTGGATGGATCATAGGCCTCATATGTACTTTTCTCTTTCTTCTGGGAGTCATTCTCCTTCTTATATGTGGGCAGGAGAAATCCCGAAGACATCCATTCATCTCTTATAGATGGTTTTCCTTCGACATCTGCAGATTGCGTTTTCTCCACCCATTCGTCCTCTGTTGCTGAACTACTGGATGAAGATGAAGACCGTTTCTTATGGGATTTCTTTGGGATCACCTCCACAGAATCACTAGAATCGTCATCGTCAGACGACTTGTGTTTGCGCTTCTTCTTTGACTTTTTACTTTTCTTCAGCTTCTTTTCCTTCTTGTGCTTCTTCTTTTGCTTCTTAGGTTTGCTCGAGCCTTCTGACCTTTCTAATTTCTCAGCGACTTCCGGCAACATCCACTGGTTTAGCTTCCGATGAGCGGCAATTTCATCTCTTCGTTTTGCATTGAATTCTGCCTTTTCCAGCAATTTCTCTCTGACTGATCGAAGCTCTTGCCTTATTTTCTCCTTTTCCGAGGCACTTTGAAACTCAATGAAAGACATTTCAGAGTTTTTCACGATTTTTCCAGGGAATAGTAAAAAACAGCACGATAAAACGTAAACAAAACAACTTTTAAGGTTATGTGTTTTTGACTGTCAGCCTTCTTCTTGGCGATAGCGACGCCCTCTCTTTCCGTTTTAGATTGTCAAGCAAGGTAAACGCTGGTTTTGCTTTTATCCTCTAAAATTGCATTTTTCTCTAATTTTACCGCATTGCTCGCGAGAAAAATAGTTGAAATGTGGAAATAGAATGTGGTTTTAGCGTTTGCGCCTAAAATTCACCTGAGAATCATTGTGAAATAAGATTTTCGTGATGTTGATTGCGTGTGCATGTGGAGTTCGTGTCTGTCACACTTTTCACTGATTTCCTCCACTTTTTCCCTCCTTCCAGATGCCAGGCGTTACAGTAAAAGACGTGGATCAGCATAAGATCGTCCGGGCTGTTGCCTCCTTCCTCAAGAAGTGAGTATTCTAGTGAGAAGGTTTTGCTTGGACCGAGCCTAACCTCACTTCGTGTGTTTCAGGTCCGGCAAGCTAAAGGTGCCCGAGAAGATGGACATTGTGAAGACGGGCAAGTACAAAGAGCTGGCCCCCAGTGATCCCGACTGGTACTACATTCGCTGCGCCTCCATCCTGCGCCATATGTATCTGCGCCACCCCGCTGGCGTGGGCTCCATCACCAGGATCTTTGGTGGTCGCAAGAGGAACGGTGTCCATCCGTCTCACTACTGCCGTGCTGCCGACGGAGTCGCGCGCAAGGCTCTGCAGTCCTTGGAAGGGATGCAGCTGATCGAGAAGCACCCTGATGGCGGACGCAAGCTCACGTCCAAGGGCCAGAGAGATCTTGACCACATTGCCAACAAGATTGTGGGCAAGCAGAGGGCTGCCAAGAAGGAGGCCGGACCTATCATCATCTCCTAGAGCGAACTCTGGCGATTGTAAGAAGATGAAATAAAGAAGTGGCGCTTCGGAGACAAAATCTGGTAACATTTTCCAATATCACTACCTTATATTTAATTGGTGATCTGCGTTGAGAGCGAGAGAAAAAAAGGTGTTTTGAGGACATAAACTTCAACATTTTATTGATTTCACGTTATATAGGGAGAACATCGTAGTTCAATATGTTGAGTATATAGAGATTTTCCACGGAATCAGATGGGACGGTGTTGAATTCATTCCAAAACACATTTTTCCACTATCCTTTGCACAAGGTAAACTCAAGTTTGTAGAACAGCATGACAATAATTCATTGTTGTGTGAGTAATTTTGATTTGAAGATCTTTTTCCGGACAACAACGATTTTCAGAGAATTTGGGATCAAATCGAGCCATCAATATTTTTTTCTACATTCTAACATACATTCCTATATCTTTTTGTATGGGATCACAATAATTTCCTTTAAGTCATAACACACCTTAACTACTCTGATCAGTGCTTTCCACAATCCGACACCGCATTTTATTCTTTTCAGGAGATAATTCAATGTCACAATAATAATTGTGATGAAGTAAATATTCCTTTGAGTATCATTGCAATGAGATGTGCCTAAGTGAGTATAACATGCGTAAATAGGATTAAATTGAGTGTCTTGTGCAGATCTCACCTGCACTCTAACAAGTAAGCGAATGCAGAGAGGCGAGGAGGGGGGAAACGGGAGCGAATTGTGTATAGAAATTCATAAATATTCCTCTAAATTTGTCCTCTCACTGAAGGTAACATTCATATTCTCGCATGAGAGAGCTTTAAATATATCTCTGGGAATCCATCGAATGATTCTACGAAGGGACATTTTTTCCCATTTTCAGTCTTGTTTTATCCTCACAATTTCATCAGTCCAATTGTTTGTCCCTTGCAGCATCCCCAGGATTCCCGGATGGGTAGAAAAGGGGGTGTTTTAGAGATCGGCCGCTTGCTTTCCGGCTAGCATTTCGTGTTCCGTCTTGGCCTGATTGAGCCAGATCTTCAGATTCCTGGTGCGCTCCACGAGACTCGTGGTGTAGTGTCCGGCGAGCGGCGATTGGGAGACGATGGTGTGGACTGTGGCACTGGCTGAGGGCGTGGCCATGGTGGCGGAGCTCGCGCCGCGCACAACAGCTCCTTGCTTGAACGGTTCGACGGGTGGCTTTGGCTGCTGTTGGAGTCCTGAAGCGGAAGATGAGGGTGCGGGAGTGACGAAGGGGTTTGTGGAGCTGTTCCAGGAAGCCTCCGGGGCATAGGTTATGGGCGGCGGAGGGATTCCGTGAGCCTGTTGCTTGCTGAGAATCTCCCAGATTTCCTTGATCTCAGCATTGAGATGCTCGAGGCTCTGGATGATGTCTGTTGGCTCCTGATACAGATCCCTCTGCTGCCTGCCGCCGTGGTGATTGGTGTCGGTGATGAAGTCAGTGCTGCTGAAGCCCGAGCTGGAGTGCGACGAGGACACGTCGCTGAGAGTGGCGTCATCCCTTGGATTGTGGTGCTGTCTCTCGGCCAGCACTGGCTTCTCCTTCTCGCACACCCTCTGCAGACTCTGCTCCAGGTGTCTCAGTCGGATGACTTTTTCACCCAGCAAAGCTCTCGTGCGATGGAGATTCACTTCCATTTCCGTGAGTTCCTTCTCTTCCTGAATCAGATGGTCGACTGTGTGCTTCGTGCCGCTCTTGTGGCGCAACTTGATCTCACGCTGTCGCGCCCGGAAATTTGTCCTCTGCGTTCTCAGCGAGTCCTTGGCGCGTCTCACGGAATCTCTCTCCAGGTGGATGCGATGCTTGAAGAACTCCAGCTCTGAGCTCATGCTGGCATAGTTGTTGGCCACGTCGGAGAAGGGATAGCGAAGATGATAAGTGGTGTCTAGGGAGCTGTCTGGGAATTGATCTTCGAGATCCTCCAGCTTCTGCAGCTGTCTCCGCAGATTCTCCACTGGAGTGCAGGGTCTTCCGCAATCCTGGCCGCCCTTAGACGTGTTGAGACGCGATGTCGATGCGGATTTTGTGCGTGTGAAGAGCTTCTTTCGCTGCCGCAGCGGCGTTCCATCCTTCTGGTTGTTGTTATTGCGGTTTATCGCCTCAGAATCAGAGTTTCCGTTGTCTCCAAGTGGAACGGGGACTCTCAGTCGACCGTACGTGTTGCTAACTGTGGTGTCACTCTGGCTGATGGACGTGGTGTCGTCATTCTGCTGCTGGATGTGCTTCAGATACTTCGTGGCAGCACCGAACTTCTTGCTATCCTTCACACTCAAGTGTCTCTCCAGGGACTTTTCTCTCGTCTCGGTGCTGCTGTCACGAAATTTCGGCTGAGATTTGGGTGTCAGGGGAGCCGTGGGTGGTCTTCCCACCGGAGACACGTCCACCAAGGCTCCGTGCCTGTTGGACAGAGATCTCTCAGTCTCCGAGCCAGTTGTTGTGGTCACACTTTGCTGCTGCTCTCGGCGGCGATTGTTCCGTCGTTCCAGAGAGAGTTTCACGTCCGTCTTGAGTCGTGTGTACTTCTCCTTGAGACACCTGTACTTGTCCTCCAAAAGACGCTTCTCACAACGGATTTTCTCATACAGACGATCCTCACCGTTTTCTCTCATTCTCTGCTTCTCCATCTCAATCTCATGCGTGATTTTTGCCTTGGCCTAGACAGGAAAGGAAGTGAATTATTAACCATTTCTCCAGGATGTCCTGATTTAATCCTACTGACCTGATTCAAATTAATTGTGTGCTCCTTCTTAAGCAGTTGCTCCTCTGTCTTGAGATCCCTCTCGAGTTCCTGTAAGATTTCACTGTGATTCTTCTGCAGTGTCTCCACAGAAGCTCGATGTTCAGCACTAATGATCTTTCTTCTCTCTTCAAACTCACTCTTCAGCTTCTCTCTAAACTCCTCCAGGGAATTCCTATGAGTCGTCTCAATCTCCTCCCTCAAATGCTTCAGCTGAGAATCCATGTCGTTCTCCACTCTAGTCATCCTTTCCTTATGATTCTCCTCCAAATCGCGTCTCTTCTTCTCAAGTGACTCTTTGAATTTCGCCTCTTGCTCGTGAATCAAATGGTCTAATTTCTCGTCGTGACTCTTTTTCAATCTCTTCAGCGTCTCGTCCTTTTCACTGCTGAATCGTCGGTTTTCCTGTGATATTAGATCTTCCAGTTCTTTTCTGTTGGACACTTTTGTGGACTCCAGCTCAAATAGATTCAATTCCGATTGATTCTTCTCCGCGATGTCCTTCCGCATTGCTTCTAGCTCCATCTTCATTTCCCTACGCATCTTCTCTTCCTCAAGGCGCTTCTCCTGCTCAATGTGCATTCGGAATTTGTCCAGATCTTCAATCATCTGATCCACAATCATTCGCCGATCTTCCTGCATCAGAAGTGGATCAGTTTCCATGTTGGCCGTGGGGAAGTTGGAATTTTTCACAGAATTGGCCTGACTTTCAGAGTCACTTTCGTCATACAACGGCTTTACTTCGGGTTTCTCTGGCTTCTCCTTTTTCTCATCCGGAGCGGAAATGCTGAAAGCACGAGTTAAGGATGGAGGACGACTGGAAGATGGACGAGGATTCTCATCTGCTGCCTTTTGAATGGGTTTCATCACGGTCACTCGATTGACGGGCTGAACAGTGACTTGACGAACGCCGCCCTCGTCGCCTTCGTCACTCATGTTAAAGTCCCAATTGTCCTCTTCGGCATCTGCCGCTGCCAAGTCCTCTGATGACGATGTCGATGAGCCACTTGCCACGACTTCAGGAATTTCTCTGGGAGCTGCAGCCTCGGTCAAGTTGAATTTGACACTCTTCCGATCGGAAATCTCTGACTGATGCGAAATGTCCTGGCCGTGAGGACGTCTAACGTCTGAGAGACTGGAATCCCTGAGAATTCCCTTCACACTAGTTCCCGTTGGAACATGTTGATCGAGAAAGCTGGGCTTTGTCTTCTCGATATCGATGGGTTTCGTGACACTCGCGTCCGAACCCTCAATTCTCTTTGACTTCAGAAACATCGATCCCGACCCCATCAGCGTAAATCCCTTGACTGGTGGCTTCTCGCCGCTTGTAGTGGGCTTCACGAGGTCTGGCTTCGCCTTTGGCATCTCCAGGCCAATCTGCTGACCAGAGCCGAGTGGCTTCTTCGGCAGTGGCTGCAAATCCCAAGTGGGACGCTTCGAAATCGGCGCCAAGTGTCTCTCCATCGTCTCTGGTGGTGCCTCAGGAGCAACTTCAGCGGCAGCCTTCACTGGCTCCTCATTCTCATGCAAACTCCGAATGCCAGAATCCTCAGACAGGTCAACCACGCCGCGGTGTCGCGCCTTCTCCACCAATCCCTTGTAGATTACGTCCAGAGGATGCTCCCACTGTGTCGTCTTTGTTAGCACATTGAAGTAGTAATACGCTTTTCGCTGCTTGTTGTAGCTGAAAGGGAGCGGAATTGAGCAAAATTAATATCACCATGCCATTTCCCCGGGGAGAAATTGGAAGTTCGCACTGTTCGTGAACAAAGGCGGCCGTAATTAACATTCTACTGTACTGGAAAGTGACACCCACACGTCTCTGATGGGAGAAAACTGTTGGAAAATTCTAATTTGATAAACTCGTGAACCCAAAGTGCAAAGTCCCCAATAAATGTTCAATTTATTCATGAAGAAGAAGTTTGCAAACTCTGCAATTTTGGGACGTGAGATAAAATTCACTTAAATATTTTATGAGAGCTCGTATAATTTGATTTGAAAAATGCTTGATAAACAGTGATAAGAGAAAATGTATTTGTGCTAAGAATAGAACATCAATGGGAAGTTCGCATAAAATATGTAGAATTGATATTTCTCTTTGATAAAATTGAATGGACGCGAGAATAGCTCAAGAGATGAGCGAGGGGATTGTACATATTTTATGCTGTTTAAGTACATTTCCTATTTAAGCACTCTTTCAGCGGTGTTTTCACTCTAATTGGGTCAAATTGTACACAGAGTGCGAATGGAAAATCCCTGTTTCTCCGAAGTAACAGAGATTACAGGAAACAATTCTGTAAAAATGCTCTCGTGCGAAATTTCATGATTAATCATCTCTCGGAGTGCTTTTCGTCCTTCCCGGACAGCGGTCCCTTGAGTCTGTCCATTAATTGTGAGGGTGTCACGTGAAGGTGTCAGAAATTACCAGGGCTGCCAGTCATAAGGCAGCGTCTGCAGCAATCCGTCACGGGCGATGGGGAGAAGATGAGGCTCCTTTTCTGGGTTGATGCCAATTTTCCTCGCGTAGTCCACGATTTCTGCAAAGCGGAAATTGAAGAGAAAATTACTCGAGTGCTCCAAGTGAGAGCCAGAGAGGGAGAGAGAGGAAGTGCAATATCCTCAATTTTCTTTCTGGCTTCCCGCTGAACAACTTTTCCCCGGGCAAATGGGTTATTGATTGGTTGGGAATCTTCAATCTTGCTGGATATAAATGGGCAATGCTGTCAATCGCTGCGTGTAATGTGCAAACTCACTGTTGGGCGAGAGGATGAATATTCCATGAGTTTATTTGGGACGAAATCACGGAAAAGGAACAGCCAGAAGCGTGCTCACACGTGTCAAGAGTCAATACCGAACTGAGGGTGTTTTGTTCCAGAAAGGCTAATAATTTATCGATCCCCAAGACTGCTCAGTCCAATGAAAATTCTAGCAGCTTTGAGGTGAAAATTTATGAGAATGCTCGGTACATGTTTGAATAATTAATGGGCAAATTTTCCGCTTTCTTTTTCACCACGGGACACACGTCCTGGCCTGACATATTGCTGCAATTCAGCCAATTCGAGCGAGATAGTCCTTGGAGAGTGCGTCACACTACATAAGTACAGCCAATTTGTCTGGCAAAGCTGTGGGAAAAGGAGAACATTTTATGGACTATCTGGTTGCGGTCGGATTTTCTCAATGAACGCCACATGGGAGACTGAATCTCTGCGGTTACGTCACGGCAGTGCAAGAGTGCAAAAGCAGCGGGACTCAGAATATTCTAACCATATGTTTCAGGAGACGAGAATGGGTGGATTATTGCATGGGTGGTGCAGCGATATCGATTTTCTTTGTAACGACAGAGTTGAAAGCTCTCGCGTTGGTGGTCATGCGAAGCTTTGGGGGCGGAAAAGCGCCATTTCACTCAATTTTATGCCCTTTTATGTGACACTCTAGCAAGATAAGTGTGATTTCAGCGATTTCAATTGCAGGAAAATATGCTTTATGAGTTCAATAAAAAAAGTAATGTCTTGAAAAATTTCTCTCTAGAATCCACCTTTAATTAGAAATCGCTTAAACACGCAGAAATACATTTCTCTAATTGCTTGCTTAATAGCAATCATTCAGAAGAAATTTCCCACCCCTCGTGCGGGTTAACGAGTTCTTTTGCCTCTCGAGAAAAGCCATGACATTCATTTTCAGTGTTGAGGGTGTGTTTTTTGCCTCAACTGAAACAATTAGACACAGCCGCTCAATTAGCATAAAAACGGCAGTCTTTATGGCGAATGCTAAGCGCGAAAGACACGATTTTGGGACTTTTTCGGTAATTTCGTGCTCAGCAAAACCAACACCCTCAGAGTGCTGGTGGAGAGCTTTCGGGGCGAAAGAGAAAAATGTGCAGTGACCCAAAGGAAAAATCAATAGAGCCGGAAGGGGAGGATGAAATTGGGGACAACGGTTTTGCGGTGCAGGCGAATGTATTGGCAAAAAGCGAGCGAGAATAGCTGCTTTGCGACTCACCTTTTGGCGTTGGTTCCAGGACGTCGAAGACTTCCTTGGGAAGCGACGCGCTGTTGAGCGAGAAGGCTCCCGAAGTGTACGATGCCGAATTCATAGCTGCCCTTTGAGTGTGTGTTGTTGTGCCTAACCAACTAGTAATGTCGCATTTTTACTCCCAACCCCCAGGATTTCTCTGCGCCCCCCTCCATTCGGTCACCACTCTTTTTTCCGCGTGAGCAACAACCCTTGGCTGCCAGGCGAATCGATATATTGATTCTCGGACGCTTTCGTCCAACTTAAAACCGCACTATTTTACTTCTTCTGATGGCCTCGCGGCCTTCGCAGGACGAGGAAAGCGAGGAAAATTTCACGCCCCAACAAATTGCGCAACAGAGCTGAGAGTCGGGGGCACCGCTGGGGGCGGCGGATGCCAGGGTGAGGGGCGGGAGCGCCTTAATCACTCACTTCCACTGTCACGCGGAGGGAAAGCCTTCAAGGGGTCGCGTGTTGCACAACAAACAGCACCATAGAGACCCGCACCTGGGTGGGGGGTGGCCTTCTTCAATGGCAGGAAAAGCACCCTGTGAGGCAGAGAAGGCCTCAGTGCCACTTCCGGGGCAGCCAGAGGCGTGTGCGACTCGAGCGACGGAACTGTAGCGACTGAGATGAACTTTTTGGCAAAAGCGCTCTCGAGAATGGACTTTCCAGAGAGACGTAAAATGAGAGAAAATCTGCTCTGAGAGGAGAGACTGCAAATGCTGCAAATCAATGGATGCGTGGAGCTCTTTTGAAGATTTATTCACGTACTGTGTTTGCGAAAAGGATTTTTGGTGTCCAAATGGTCTTTTCTAAATTAGTGTAATTTTCTCATCATAATTTTTCCGTGCTTTTATCGCTTATCAAGCCTAGACTTGATTCTTTCAATGAGATCTTTTTGCTAAATTATCTCTAAAATTTCAAATAAGAAACCCCTTGATAAAATCAAAACATTCAATTAATGTTTTTTTTTTCTAAATTTGTTTATGTTTTTCTTCCCTTTCTTTTGTACAAGACTATAACGATGCGCTAGGCTAATGATGATGATATCCTTCAGACGAACCTCGTCGCAATGGCAAGGAGTTTCGTGTAATCCGCTCCCTTATTGTGGGTTTTCTCTTTCAGAATTGTCCTCAGAATTGTCGGGATGGGCACATGAATGCGAGTTCCTAGAGGAGTTCCGTTGTCATCAATCAGGACGATGTTGTTGGTATCGAATTTGGGCACTTTTATCTTCTGTTTCTGCTTCAGACCCACGAGAATTGCCTTCTTCATCTGCCCTTTGATGGCCACGAGGACTTTGTCACCAATCAGGCCCACGCTTCGCTTGTTATACACGTGGATACAATATGGGGGCCTTCCCTCTATCATTGCCGCTTTGCCTATTTCACTGTTGTCCACCACTCGGAGTCGTGCCAGCTTCCGGATCTCATTGCTCACCGGCGAAGTGTGGAATTGAGCGCTTGTCGCTCGAACTGTCGGGGAATTCAGTAGCCGAGGGAGGCGCGTGAAGTTTCCTAACATCTGCAGAGAAGGAAAATGTAGAAAAAAGCGATTTAACAGGAATTTCAAGGCATTTTACCTTCGCTGATAATGCTGTGGTTATGTTTTGTTCTCTCTCAAATGTCACACGTGTTTCCTCTAATCTTGTCTAGATAGCTCTGCTGTTCCCTGCTTCAGCAATCAGCTACTGCGGACGCTGCAATCGCCAAATTTAAACACCAACGTCTGCTGAGATTTCATGAATTCATAAAAAAAATGGATTCATTAAATCCCTTTACAACAAATTAGAAACGATAGTTGACACCAAGATTGTCACGCATTTATACTCCTGTGCGTGTGAGAAAATTAAAAATAATTACTTTCCGCAAATGGAAGAGTGAAAAACTTACAAATATGTTACTGAAAGACACAATTAAATTATAATTGCTTCATATGCTGACTGGAGGATACTTTAGTAGTTCAGCGAGTATGACAAATGTCTGAGAATTACGCTCGAAAATTGTTCTTTTTATACTTCCACAATTATAGTCATTATTTCCACTTCTTTTACATTTTCTCACACTTGACACGTGCTAAAAAGGAAGAGGAATGAAAAGAGAAGCTATGAAAAGCTACCAAGGCAAGTTTCCAGGGCTCTTTTTTACCATTTTTAATCAACCATCTAACGCCCCAACGCGTTCTTTGGTCTTTAGCGGAAACTTCAATTGGAGCTTTTTCTCATAATCACAGCTCCAAGGATTCTTTTCAATATTCTCTGTCATCCAAGGTCTCACCATGTGCAGGAATGGAGATGGAAAAATCCCACCACAATCCTTCATTATAATTTCAATCTCTCCTCTTCATCGTGATGACAAATAATGACGCAACTTGAGAGCGAGGATGAAAGGAAGAAATTGCTAAAACTGCATATTGCATAAGTGGAATCCTTTAATTTTTTAGCCATCAGCGTCATTATTTTTTCCCGCCACAAATGGCGCGAATGTGGGATTTTTTTTTCACAAAAGGGAGTAAAATGCGACGGTGGCGAATTCATCCATCCACCAGCTTTTGAATTATTAATATAATTTTCAAACCACTCACTTTTCAGCACTCTCGCCACCCATTCGTCCCCCATGATTAATTGTAGCTCCTCTCCCCGCGCCGGGCGATGGCTCAAAGCCTCGGAAAGGCGCCCCGACAGAGTCGCACAATGAGAATTCGCGCAAAATGCAAAAGAGGCTCATATCATGACTCGCCTCCCCATGAATTATACAGTAGATGAAACAAAAGCTTATAGCGAGGAAAAATGCTTCATTAAAAATCAACCATTGAGGATGCAAAACAACTTACACTTAACATCAGAGTTTTGAGCACTTGCATAATTTTGCCCAGACTAAAGAAAAGAAGCTAAGTAAGCATTAGCGAAACTGAAGACTGTCTTATGAAGAAATTTACTTTGGAAGTTTCTTCGGAGGGATTTAGAGAATTTGTGTTGAAATCAAATTTTGGTATCAAAAAGCTATTAATTTCAAGATTCACAAAATTGCGTCAATGTTCTTTACTTGGTTCGATCAAAATTCATTTAATTTTCTCAGAAAAGTATAAATTTCATAGCGCATTTCATCTTTTACTCAAATAAATTAATCCAATTATTGGAAAGATTGTTCAACAGCACATCGTGCAGAATCTTGATATTTTTAATGTAAAAAGAAACAGCATTTCAAGAACTAATTTGAACATGATATCCTAAAAACTCCTTGACAAAGATTTCATGTCTTTCACTGTACGTTTAGATTTCCACCTTCTTTCACGGACATTTTTCACTCATTTGAATTACACTGTCTGCAGACTTCATCATTTCACAACTTTCCTCCACAATTTAGAAGGATGACGGTGGAAAAATGCATAAACAATAATTTTCTAAATGCGTGGTTTTTGTCTTATATTTTCTACTGGGCGAAATCTCTCAAGAGTAAACGAAGCTATTATTTAGATTAAAGTTTTTCATTACAATTTTCTCCGTCAAATCGCAGAAAAGTTTCTTCCCGTCGGGATGGAAATATGTTTCGCTGGATTTTTTTGTTCCTGCGCCGGCTGAAGAAGAGAGAAGCTAAATGGAAGGAAGTGAATATCAAGAATAATTTAAATTAATTGAAATCTTTGTTTTGACAAGAGAAACCCAAATAAACACCGCGAACATTGAATGAAGGAGTTGAAAAGGAGTCTCGAGGCGTCTTGAGGGATTGTCTTGATGATGTGAATGGCTCAAAAAGAGGATCATTGATTTGTTGTGATGTACCTCATCAAAGGCTCTTTGTCCGCTCTCAGCACGACGTCCAACACTCGGTGTCACATTTCACTTGGATTAACCACTTGAGAGCGGGTTCAGTGGAGGCGACAGCAACTCTCACTTCCTCCCCATCTTCGCTCCAGGTGAGCTTCAAGTGATGCCTTCGCGGAAGCGGAGTCGACTCAACAATGAGTGAATTTTAATTTCCAATTAAAACTCAGACGTTCTGCAATTACTCTCGGAGCACGACTGGCGGGAAATCTTCTCAAGTGAGAGCTTAAATAATGCTCCAACCACTTTAGAATGCACCATTCTAATTAATCCTGTTGGTTTGGTCAATTATTACACCCTATTTTGTGTGCCAAAGAGCAAAAGCAAATTATACTTTCACCCGAGAGATATTTCTTTCATATAAATCCTAAATCTAGCTCACCTGCCGACGGACTGAAAACATGTTTTCTTCTCATAATGGATATGGCAAAAATGTCTTTTTCTGCGACACAAAACCACTAGAGATTTTCATGAACATATCGAAATTTGATCCTTCCATTGACGATGCATTTCTCTTGACAAACAATTGTCTGTGACACATCTCTTGATTGATTTTGACCACCTTACAGGGATCTCTTGAGAATCATATCAATTTGATACATTATTGCGGTTGGAGAGAAAGTTTCCTGACATCTCGTCTCACTCGCCTGAGGAGAGGAAAATGCGACAAAACATTTATTATTTGATTATTTTGTTACGACACATTTTGACGATGGAAAAATATTATTATTGGTGCTTTTGTAGTCATCAAGAGGAGAACTTCTGACATGATGAGGGACACAAAAAGGGCGTGTTGAATAACAAAACTGCCGAGGGATGAATAAAAAAAGAGACATCCATTGAGAAATCTCTCATGATTCTCGTCGATAGAATCATCCAGTAGTCATCATCTGGTGACACACTTTTCACCATTTCATTGTTATCCCTCGTAAAAGTGGGCTAAAGCGAGATGGAGAAGTATTTGGTATCTGCATCTCAATCTCACACTCTTGGCGGGTGATTTTGGCGGTTTTACTGTAGTTCTCTAACAAGGGTTCGTCAGTTAGACCACCAAAGTCCCTCAGTTATTCACTCTTATTATAAATTTCTAATGAGATTTTTTCTATTCTGCTATTAAATGATGAAGTAATGCATTGACCAATGAATTGAGCGTCTTTTGCAGTGATATTTTGCAAATCTGTGTGTTTCGTCAGACAATTCAGATGTGTACACACCTTCTGGACTGACTAGCCCTTTATAATCCCCTTTCTGATGTTCACCCAATGAAACATGTCAAATTATTCTATTTCACCAATTTTTTTGTGTCATAGTTCCCTTGTCAAATCAGAATGAAGGGTGACGACGGCAAAAAAGGACATTTGACGCCCATTTATAAAATTATTATTCAATTAAATTCACGTAATAGCCACATGTGGCACCCTATATGGACCCATCTCGAGCGATCCCGGAGCTTCTCCTTCATAATTGGATTACGAGGTCCATTGAGGGATGTTTTTGAATAAATTTGATGAAGTTACAGTTGGATTTAATGCACCCTTTTGCACGCGCTTCTCCACTATTATTCCATCTACCCCCAACTGATGGCGCTGAGCTCACGCTGAATATGCGATTTTGTGCCTACAATTAGTGGATTCGCACCGTTTTTTCTCCCATCCGTCGAGCGCGAAAAGGTGTGAAAGAATGAGAAGGCGCAAAAAAGGGAAAATTAAGAGGTGTATGCAAGAATATTTCACACCAAGTGGATGAAGAGAATATAAACGCCCTTCATGACGTGCACTCTCTTCGCTCCTTTTGTCTCGCGATGTGCAAAAGGGGGATTCTTTTAAATGGCGGTGTGAAAAATCATGGCGGGTGTAATTAAAAACTCCACTAGAGGCGGAATTCCCTTCCCACTTCCCATTTACCGGCGCTCGTGGAGCCGCCAACATGGAGCTCCCTAATTTCCCAATGGAGGCTCAAAGGAGGAAAACACATCCCCTCTCACTTTGCTGGATTGATCAATGAAGGACGAAGAAATTCATTTGGGAGCTTTCAAAGAGAATGGTGATAAGGAGAATTCAGAACATCGCATCGTGTATCAAAACTCACAAACACACATTAGTGATGGAAAAATGGATGATAAAAAGCGAATGGAAGAGGAAAAATCACAAGGGGAAATCCACCACAGATACTTCAAAACCGCGCCCCTGATTTTTATTGCTCGAACTCGGACGAGTGTGAAGCGAGAAGAGGAATTCTTCTATAATCGATCATATGGCAAAAACGTGAGAAATCAATTCTGATCTAAACACCTTGCACTATGCAAAAAGACAAATAATGAATTATTAATACAGTAATTGTCAAATTCCAGTAATTACAATTTAGCAATTTAGCTAAATTTTTTTTATATAAAAAGCTGTATGTTATCATATTTATAGGGTTTAGCTAAGAAACCACGCGTAAACTGAATAGATCAACATAAAATTCCGAATTCAACTCAAATTTCAGCATACTGAAGAGTCTTCTCCCTTTGCTTTCCATTCTATAGCAGATTTTCTGAAGGTTTATGATGATTTATGCCATCATTTTTGCGTTATTCATCTTTACATTCGCCCCTCGGAATGCTTCCTCGGCACTGAATATCCAACACTCGAGTGGTTTTCGCTCTCTCCACCTTTTCTTTCATCCCTCGGCGCTTTTCCAACCCTCTGGCATGGCTCAGAGTGATGGTTGGTGCGCGCGTTTTGCTAAATTACCGAGAATAATTTGTGATTTCTCGTCCCTCACTGATGACGATGGAATCAAATGAAAAGAATACTTGCGCTCAGAGGCGGAAACGAAAAATCAGCCATTTCTCTTTT